GAGATCCCCGAAAAGCTTGCAGGCGTGCACCTAAACGTGATAAAACTCCCGTAGATGTGATAGCGTGCCGCATGTGCTTAGGGATGAACAGGTCGTCTATGCGGCTCGAACTATTCGGACCAAAACAGGTATGAACGGTCGTGTCAGAGAGTGTGTTGCAGGCTAGCATTAAATGGCGCGCCAAGAGCTTTCTCATTTTCGTTCCCGCCCCACCCCTCAGACGCTCAGCCGACCCGGTCCCCGCCACCCAATCTTCAGCTTCCTGCCAGTGCGTCCTGTCATTTAAAAACCGGCCGATTCCATCATTGAGGTCGGCGTAAATTGCTGGCGTGCTTCTTTGCAGGGAGGGCCGACAAGAGAGAGTTCAGCAAATCGGTCATCCTCCTCCTCCTGCTCCCTCCTCCTCATCCTCCTCCTCCTCCCTCCTCCTCCTCCTCCTCCTCCTCCTCCTCCTCCTCCTCCTCCTCCTCCTCCTCCTCCGTCCTCCACCTCCTCCTACTCCTCCTCCTCCTCCTCCTCATTCTCCCTCCTCCTCCTCCCTCCTCCTTTGCGTTCGCCACCGATCCAGAGCACGCTCGCCGACCGAGCTCCCGTCGCGCGGCCGGGTCACCCCGAGGCGGTGGCCCAGCAACGCCAGCGCCGACCGCTCCGACCTCTTTCGCCATCGCGGGGGCCTTTCAGGAGGAGGAGGAGGCGGAGGAGGAGGAAGGAGGAGGAGGGGGAGGAGGAGGGGGAGGAGGAGGAGGAGGGGGAGGAGGAGGGGGAGGAGGAGGATGGAGGAGAAGGAGAGGAGGAAGGAGGAGAGGAGGAGGAGGAGGAGGAGGAGGAGGAGGAGGACAAGTCCGCAAACACAACACGTTGTTGCAGTAAACCCTCCCTCCAAGTGCCCAGTTCTTAGGTCCCTACCACGAACTGGTTTTCTTTGTGGGAAGTACCCAATCGGAAATACCCAATCCCCACTCGGGCCAAACACACATTTCCTGGGACTTCAGCGCTTCAACGTGACTATTGCGTCCTGACTGTCCCGAATCGTGCCGTAACACCGTGCCGAAAGAACGTGACTGTTGCGCCCTGGCAGTCCTAAGTCGTGCCAGAACACCATTCCTGGGATTTCAACCATGCGAATCCTTAGAACTGCTGTGCACGGCGCTCACGCGAAAGTCACATTTCGAAAAGGGACCGTACTTCCTTCATCCATGAAGCTGTTGCAAGCTTTTGAAGCGAGTGTGCGCGGCGCTAAGGTGGGAGTCCCACTTTGAGGATGAGGATGAGGATGATGTTGATGATGATGATGCTGATGATGATGATAATGATGATGGTAATGATGATGCTGATGATGATGATGATGATGAGGAGGATGAGGATGAGGATGAGGATGAGGATGAGGATGAGGATGCGGATGAGGATGAGGATGAGGATGAGGATGAGGATGAGGATGATGATGATGATTATGATGATGATGATGATGATGATGATGATGATGATGTGATGATTACGATTATGATGATGCTGATGATGATGCTGAGTGATATGATGATGGTGATGAGGAGGAGGAGGAGAAGGAGGAGGAGGAGGAGGGAGAAGGAGGAGGAGGCGGAGGAGAAAGGGGGCCCTCCCAAGCGGCTAAGGCTGAGGGGAAGCGTGAGGGGGGGACTGGCACACGCGCGGCCCAGAGGGGGGGTCCAGGAGGAGGAGGAGGAGGGGGGGGAGGAGGAGGAGGAGAAGGAGGAAGAGCCGGCCATGAAATGCAGGAAGACATCATGGCCCTGGTCAGGATATGCACACGCACGTGGGCAAGAGAAGGGCGGAGATGATGATGAGAACGTGGTTCGTGGCGTTCTCCGCCAGCGTTCCCGGCAACTTGCCAAAACGTATCCCCCGGCGCCGAAACAGAGGTACAGCGATCTCGGGAGTGCCATGTTTGGCCACCCTTGTGTCCTGGTGATTGCCATGATATGCACACGCCCTCTTGGACGCCTCCAGACCTCTGGCATCCTGACTTGTTTCTCACTTCGGAATCCGCCGAGCTCTGGAAAACTTCCCGGCGAGGGCCCCAATGCGTCGCGAAAAAAAATCCAACATCGCAGAAGAACAAGACCAGAGCCATGTCGACCCAACCTTTGTGCCGCATTTTTCGGGCTGGATCGACCTGTGATCGATCCAGCCCCCGAAGCCAGGCGAAGACGCCCGGTGAGAGCACGCACCCCTAGTCCACAACCTCCCTCTTGGACGCCCCCCGCCGCCAGAGCACGGCGAGTTGAGACAGCGGCAGCTCCGAATCGGTCCACGGACCCCTCCCAAGGTACAAACGTACCAATTTTTCCGAGCTGCGTCCAGCCGTGTCGACGCGCCCCCCCCCCCCCCCCCCGAAAGCACACGACCGTTGTCCCGACTGCCTCTGTCTCAAGGTGCCGAGACCGCTACTCCCTGGTCCTCTCCAGGGGTACTCTCCAACCGTGGCGACGAGGGTAGGGTAGCGGTATCCAACCGTGGCGACGAGGGTAGGGTAGCGGTATCGGTGCCCGTCTCTCTTCTGACTGACGCTGGCCTCCCAAAGGCCGCCTGGAGCGCTGCCTCCGCGGCGACGCCGCGGGGCGCTGCAACTTCGCGGTGGATCCAACCGTGGCGACGAGGGACCTCCTCCGCCTCCGCCTCCGCCTCCTGCTCCTGCTCCTCCTCCTCCTCCTCCTCCTCCTCGTCCTCCTCCTCCTCCTCTTCCTCCTCCTCCTCTGAATAAGGTTGCCCCCTGAAGGCCGCCCGCAACGCCGCCTCCGCGGCGGCGCCGCAGGGCAGCGCCCAGACGCCCAGCGGCGGTGCCGCGCCTCGGCTGCGGCTGGGCCCCGCGGCCGCGGCTCGGCCAGCGGCGCGATCTGGCCGTCGCGGCGTCCCCCGATCGCCGACGGGCCGCAGCGCGCGAGGAGGAGGAGGGGGAGGGGGAGGCGGAGGAGAGGGAATGGGAGGGGGAGGAGGAGGAGGAGGAGGAGGAGAGGAGGAGGAGGAGGAGGAGGAGAGGAGGAGGAGGAGTAGGAGGAGGAGAGGAGGAGGAGGAGGAGGAAGGAGAGGAGGAGGAGGAGGAGGAGAGGGAGGAGGGAGGAGGGATGATGATGAGATGATGATGATGATGATGATGATGATGATGATCGATGATGATGATGATGATGATGATGATGATAATGCTCTGCTGATAATGCTTATGATGATGATGCTGATGATGATGATGCTGTGAGGATGAGACGATGCATGATGAGGAGGAGAGGGGGAGGAGGAGAAAGAGAGGGAGGAGGGGAGAAAGGAGGAGGAGAAGGAGGAGGAGGGGGAAGGAGGAGAGAAGGAGGTAGAGGAGGAGGAGGAGGGGAGGTGTGGAAGGGGAGAGGAGAAGAAGGAAAATGGAGATGATGATGATGATGATGATGATGATGATGTGATGATGATGATTTCATGAGTGATGTGATGATGATGGAGATGTGATGCTGACAGGGATGCGTTATGAAATGATGGCCTATATGATGATGATAATTGATGATAATGATGAGATGATGATGATCGATGATGATGATGATGATGATGATTGTGGTGATGATGATGATGATGATGATGTGATGATGAGATGATGATGATGATGGTGATGTGATGGTGAGGATGATGATGATGATGATGAGAGATGATGATGAGGATGATGATGATGATGATGAGATGAGATGATGATGAGGATGAATGATGATGAGATGATGATGATGATGATGATGAGGATGTGGGAGGAGGAGAGGAGGCAGGAGGAGGAGAGGAGGAGGAGGAGGAGGAAGCGTAGTATGATACTATGCGATTGCTGAGGAGGGGAAGGAAGAAGAACATGGCGAGGGCGAGGGCGAGGGCGGGCGAACTCCGATGCGGGGGTAACCCTCACCTTCGCCCTGGCCCTTACCTTGCTTCCATTCATTACCGCCCCCTCCCTTCTCCTGCCCGCGGGAAGCGGAGGAGAATGGGCGCGAAAAGTGGGAGCCGGAGAAGGAGGAGGAGGAGGAGGAGGAGGAGGAGGAGGAGGAGGAGAAGGAGGAGGAAGAGGAGGAGGAGGGGGCGGGAGGAGGGGAGGAGGATTGAGGGGAGGAGGAGGAGTAGGAGGCGTAGGATGGGCGAGGAGTGAGGAGGCGAGGAGGAGGCGGAGGAGGAGGAGGCGGAGGAGGCGGAGTAGGGGCGGAGGAGGAGGAGAGGAGGAGGAGGCGGAGAGGGAGGAGGAGAGAGGAGGAGGAGGAGGAGGAGGACGGGGGCAGAGGAGGCGAGGAGGAGGAGGTAGGAGGAGGAGGTAGGAGGAGGAGGCGGAGGAGGAGGGGGGCGGAGGAGGCGGAAGGGGAGGAGGCGGAGGATGAGGATGAGGAGGAGGATGAGGAGGGGGCGGAGGAGGGAGGCCGAGAGGAGGAGGATCAGGAGGGAGGCGGCGGCGGAAGGAGGAGGAGGAGGAGAGAGGCGGAGGAGGAGCGGAAGGAGGAGGGAGGAGGAGGAGGAAGGAGGGTGAGGAGGAGAGGAGGAGGAGGAGGAGGAGGAGGAGGAGGAGGAGGAGGAGGAGAAGGAGGAGGAGGAGGAGGAGAGGAGGAGGAGGAGGAGGCGGCGAGGAGGAGGAGGAGGGAGGAGGAGAGGAGAGAGGAGGAGGGGGAGGGCGCAGAGGAGGCGAGAGGAGGAGGGGGGGGGGGGGGGGGGGGGAAGGGAGTGAGGAGGAGGAGGAGGAGGGAGCGGAGCAGGCGGAGGAGGAGGAGGAGGAGGAGGAGGAGGAGGAGGAAGGAGGAGAGGGGGCGGAGGAGGCGGAGGAGGAGGAGGAGGAGGCGGAGGGGAGGAGGCGGAGGATGAGGATGAGGAGGAGGATGAGGAGAGAGTGGGGCGGAGGAGGGAGCGATGAGGGAGGAGGATGAGGAGGAGGAGGTGGAGGAGGAACGCTACGATCTGACGATTATTAAAATTCGCCGAGTGCTAAAAAAGGGGCCCGCGGCTGGCGGCAGCGCGGCCGAGCGCCCCGCTCCAGAAGGGCGGCCTCTCCGGGCCGTCGGGCGGCATCGGCGCGGGCGGCCCGGCCGCCTGGTGCCAATCCTCCTCTCTCCTCGTGGCTCGCCTCGAGGCCCTCCATCCTCCCGCTCTCTCGTGCTCCCCCTCTCCTTCTCTCCCTCCGCATCGTTCTTCCCCTCCTCCTCCTCCTCCTCCTCCTCCTCCTCCTCCTCCTCCTCCTCCTCCTCCTCCCCCTACTCCCCCCATACTCCTCCCAACTACTCAACGTGAATGCTCATCTCCTCTCTCTCCCAGGATTGTGTCCGAGCGGGGCAGCTTGTGTTCCGCATGCTGCTTCTTCGTGTGAAAGATTTCAGACGGTAGTTTATACTTGGCTTCAGACTTTCAAGCTGGTATTCCCGCTGCAGCGTTGCCCCCATTGCAGGATGGGTGCCTTGCTCCTGTCGTTAAGAATGGCGCTCTCGCGCCATCACTGGCCACGCTTCTGGATCCGATCATGTCCCCGCTGTTGTCGCCCCACTACATTCCCATCTACCGCCTTCCCCTGGCTTCTGCACCTCACTATGCTGCCGCCGCTGCTGCTGCTCCTCCTCTTACTTCCCCTCCTCCTCCTCCTCCTCCTCCTTACTCTTCCTCCTCATCGACTCCTCTCATCATCATCATCATCATCACCACCATCATCATCATCATCATCATCATCATCATCATCATCATCATCATCATCATCATCATCATCAGCAGCAGCAGCATCATCATCATCATCATCATCAGCATCATCATCATCAGCATCATCATCCTTCCTCATTCTACTCCTTCCTCATCCTCATCATCATGCTGATTCGCCACGTACTCCTCCTCCAATGCGCAGGGCTCCCCTTTCCGATTGTACATCACACGATGGAGTCATTTGGCGGATCCAGGTCCGCTAGGAGGCCCATTGGCGGATATAGGAACATAATCTGCGCTCTGGAAAGGAATGCGCGGGAGGGATAGGTTATCAGATGCGGCGCGCGCACCTAGTTTATCCTCCCTCCCATCTCCTTCCTCCTCATCCTCCACCTCCTCCTCAGCCTCCTCCAATCTCCTCCTCCTACTCCTCCTCCTCCTCCTCCTCCTCCTCCTCCTCCTCCTCCTCCTCCTCCTCCTCCGCATTCAACGCCGAAGCCGCCGCCCCTGCCTGGCGGCAGGTGGCACTGGCGGGGCCCTGCGTTGGAAAGGGATGGACGGGGGGGATACGTAGGTTGTCAGATGCGGTGCGCGCGCACCTAGCTTGTCCTCACTCCCATAGTATCCTCCTCCCCTTTCTCTCCTCCTCCTCTTCCTCCTCCTCCCTCTCCTCCTCCCCTCCTCCTCCTCCTCCTTCCCCTCCTCCTCCTACCTCCTCCTCCTCCTCCTCCATCCTCATCCCCACTCCTCCTCCTCCGCGCCTCTCCTCCTTCCTCCTCCTCCTCCTCCTCCTCCTCCTCCTCCTCCTCCTCCTCTATTCCTTTCCCGCATACATAACTTTTCCCTGCCGCATCCCTGGGGTTGTTTTCAGGGCGGGCCGTGCGTTTCGCCTGAGACTTCCTCACCATCTATGACCCCGAAGCTTTAAGAGCGACATCAGTTTCACACATGGAGGGCGGGTGGTTCTCAACATGTGGCTCTCGCCTCAACCCCGCGCACATCCGTTTTTAACCTGTGCAACGTTTCACGGGTTGAAGGCGGGTCGTTTTCAAAATGGGGCTCTCGCTTTAGCGCAGCGCACATTCGTTGGCAAACACTTGCAAGAGTGTCACGGATTGAGGGCGGGCGGTTTTCTAAATGTGGCTCTCGCCTCAGCGCAGCGCACATTCGTTTTAAACAGTCGCAAAGGTTTCAGGCATTGAGTGCGGGTCGTTCAAAAGACGTGGCTCTTGCCTTAGCTCCGCGCACATTCGCTTTAGATATTTGCCAGAATCTTTACGGATTGAGGGCGGCTCCTTTCCAAAATGTGGTTCTCGCCCTAGCGCCGCGCACACTTGTATGAAACAAGTGCAAGGGTTTCACGGATTCCCGTGACCAGCATACCACAGAGGATGTTTTATGGAAGGGCTCAAGAGTAGGAGGTCGCAACAGTTACTTTGATTCGCCGCGTTGAAGTCTCAAGAACAGCGTTCTGGCACAATTCAAGATCGTCACGACGCACCAGTCAGGTGGATCCGTGGTTTTGAAATCCCGAGAACATGGCCCTTCAAACGGTTGTCTTCCAACGAGGCAGTTCCCTTAGTGGAAATGAAACGCTGTAGGTGCCTTCGAAGAGGGATCCAACATCGTTGATGACTCTTGGGATTCCACTGGTCCTCTCCAACCTCCAAGCTCCTCCTCCTCCTCCTCCTCCTCCTCCTCCTCCTCCTCCACCTCCACCTCCTCCTCCTCCCCACCTCCTCCTCCCCTACGCCTCCTCAATCCCTCCTCCGTCTCCTCCCGCACCCTCACTCCCTGTTTCCTCCTCCTCCTCCTGCTCCTCCCCCTCCTCCTCCCCCTCCTCCTGCTTCTCCGCCTCCTCCTCCTCCTCCTCCTCCCCATCTCCTCCCCTCTTCTCCTCCTCCTCTTCTTCTTCTTCTTCTTCCTCCTCCTCCTCCTCCTTTGCCCCATCTCCTCCCCATCTCCTCCTCCTCCTCTTGCTCGTCCTCCTCCTCCTCCGTTTCTTTTCCGAATACATAACCTCTCCCTGTCGAACCCCGAGGCGAATTGTCAGGGCGGGCCGGGCGTGTCGCCTGAGACTTCCGCACCATTTATGACCCTGAAGCTTAACCATTGACAATCATTTCACAGATGAAGGCGGGTCGTTTTCAAAATGTGACTCTCGCCATAGCGCCGCGCACGTGTATACAAGAGCTTCACGGATTGAGGGCGGGTCGTTTTCAACATGTGGTTATTGCCTTGGTTTCGCGCGCACTCTGCTTTTAATATATGTGCAAGAGCTTCACGGATTGAGGGAGGGCCGTTGTCAAAATGTGGATATCGCCTTAGCGTCGCGTGCATTCGTGAAACATTTGCAAAGAGTTTCACGAATTCAGGGCGGGTCGTTTTCAAAATGTGGCTCTCGCCTTAGCGCCGCGCACATTCGATTTAAACGAATGCAAGAGCTTGACGGATTCCCATGATCAGCGTACCAACAACTTTTTTTGTGTGGGAAGGATCTGAGATTATGAGGGCGCAACAGTTATGTTGTTTCGCTGTGTTGAAGTCTCAGGATTGTGTTCTGGTAAGGTTCAGGATCGGCACGACGCAACAGTCAGGTTGATCCGTGGCGGTGGACTCCCGAGAGCATTTGGCATGATTGGGGGTCTTCAAACGGTTGCCTTCAAACGAAGCAGCTTCCTCAGCGGAAATAAACCGATGTAAGGGCCTATGAAGAGGGAGCTTGGAGGGAGAGTTATTCCAGGATCGTTGATGATTCTTGGGTTTACACTGCCTCCTCCTCCTCCTCCTCCTCCTCCTCCTCCTCCTCCTCCTCCTCCTCCAACCACCAACCTCCAACCTCCAACCTCCTCCTCCTCCTCCTCCTCCTCCTCCTCCTCCTTCTCCTCCTCCTCCTCCTCCTCCTCCTCGAACCTCAAACCTCAAACTCAACATCTCCACCTCTCATCCTCCAGCACCTCTCCTCCTCCTCCTCCTCTCCTCCTCCTCCTCCTCCTCCTCCTCCTGCCTCCTCCTCCTCCTCCTCCTCCGCCTCCTCCTCCTCCCCCCTCAGCGCCAGAAGCCGCCGCCCCGGCCGCCCCCGCCTGGCGGCAGGCGGCCCTGGCGGGGCCCTGCCCAAACCCCGGCGCGAGCCCGCGCGGCCACGGGAGCGGCGGCGGCGGCAGCGGCGCGGCCGTGCCCTCGGCCTCCGATCTGCCGCGGGCGCTGGCGCTCGCCGCCCCTGCCGGGGCCCCCACGGGCGCCTCCTCGCCGAAGCCACCGACCTCCAGGTCGCACGCCGGCACTGGGGCTGGAGCGGCGTCCGCCGGAGCCGTCCTGCCCGAGCAGGCTTTCTCCTGGCCGGGGAGGCTCGCGGCGCCATTGGCGGCGGCTGCTGGCGCTGGTGCGCGTGCCCCGGCAGGCGCTGTCGCAGACGCGGGCTCGCTGCCAGGAGCCGCTGGCTGCGGGTGAGCCCCCGCGGGCGCCGGGTCAGGCGGCGGCGCCTCCTCGCCAGCGCGCGCTGCTTCCTCGGCGCCGACCGCCCCCTCCACCACGGTGCGGGCGCCGGGCGCTGCCGTCCGCGCTGGCTGCGCAGGCGCTTCCGGCACCGCGGCGCCTGGTGAGCTGCAGGCCCTGCGCGCGCCCTCGGCAGGCTGCGGCCCGCTCGCGCCGCTGCGCGCTGGCGGGGGCATCGCCTGCCCTGGCACGGCCGGCCTCTCCGCGCAGCCGCGGCCGGCCCCGCCGCCCCCTCGGGGCCCCTCCGCCTGCTCCGCCGAGGCTGCGGGCTCCTGCTGCAGCCGCGGCTGGCCCGAGTCGTCTGGGGCCGCCTCGGCCATCTCGATAGTGCTGGCTGAGGGCGTGGGGGCATCCTCGGCGGCTCCCTGCACATGCACGCCCGCAGCCCCCTCGCGGGGGTCGGCTCCTTCCCCTGCGCGGTGTCCCGGCCCAGCTGGGGCAGCCGCCTCCTCTCAGGGTTAATTCGGGCGCGTCCCCCTACAGGCGGATTTTGGAGGAGCCAGTAAAAATATACAAAATTATCAAAACTAGCCAAAAATAGAGCAAGCATCGTCTCCTGACTATTGTTTGACAAGTTTTGTAGATTCCCACTGTAGAAGGACATGCCCGATTTGATCTCAGGGTTGCCAGGATCGAATCGGCGAGAGGAGCCGCGCGCCCAGTCAGCGGCGGACTGCAACAAAGGGTACAACAAGCCAGGCGCGACCCCAACTTTGATGTTCTCTCCCTCCCTCCGATATCATCTTACAGTTAGGTCGGGCATGTCCCCCTACAGGCGGATTTTGGACGAAAAATAAAAAGCATTCAAATATTCCTCAAAAACAATCAAGAATACTACAACAAGCGCCCCCATATTATATTTTTTGTTATCTTTGAATATTCCTCCTGTCGAGGGACAGGCCCGATTTAATATTACAGCACACCGCATAGCTAGACAGAGCACTCGCGCGTCACAGCATCAGCAGGCATGACGGACACCACATGTGCTACCCCAACGGGTCACCGCAACTCAGGGTGCGGGGGCCTCGCTGCACGGCGAACTACCAACAGCAACACGCAGCTTAAGGGAGTGGGACCGGGGGTGCCACGGCCATGGGAGTTCTTCCACATCGCCCTTCCCTGAGACGAGCAAAGACCGCCCCAAGACCAAGGCTCAACCTAAACGGTGTTTTCCGTTCTCGTGTTGTCTTCGTTTTCCCCTCGTGTTGCCTTCGTTCCGCCTTGCTACAAAACGAGACCCAAACGAAAACGGTCCACGAGATCGCTAAAACACGGTTCAAGTCGAGCCCTGCCAAAGACAAGACGGCCTCGAGAACCGTCCAGGGGGCTCGAACACCAGCCGACAGACTCCAGGATGTCCCCCGCAGGTCCTCGGAAGCTCCCAGGAGACCCCCACAGAGGCCGTGAGCGAGGCGGGCCCCGCATGAGGCCCAAGTTCATGCAGACCCGTATCGGGTGGAACGAACGGGGGGGATAGCAAACGGTAGGGTAGAGAATCAGCTCACGTACCTGATTTTCCAAGCGCCTCCCGGCGCCGGGAGGCGCCCATGTATCGAGGAATGGGCCCCGCGGCGGGGCCGAAACCAGCTGCACGCAGCAGATTTCGTAACCCGCCCTTTCCCTATCCCCCCCTTTCGTTCGGCCCGACCTTCGGGTGTTCAATGCTTGCTTTCCAGATTTTCGGCTCACTATCGCCTCGGCGAAGCTCCATATCTCGAGCCCGTACGCCCCTGATGCGACCCAGGACGGACGTGCAGCTCACGGCATGAAGACCCCAGGGCCTGATAGGCCCCGAGGACAACAGTGCAGCGCGCGCTGGCGACAAAAAGCATTGGAAACTGGGGGGTAGGCTGGGCAGCGGCAGCAGGCGGAGGGAACCAAGAGCGCGGGCCCCCCCAAGGAGCCGCCCATTCTGGTGCCCTTCTGGCCCAAGTGTAGCCCAGCCGTGCCACCGCGGTGCATCTGTAATTGCGAAGCGGATGTGCCGGCGGGGCCAGCAGCTGCAAAGGTGGCGGGCCAGGATGGAGCCACGGGGGCCCATCGGGAGGGCCAGCTGTCCCACCCCCGATCTCCACACACGCGCAGACACAGAACGCTCGGAGAAATTTAGTTTCAAAATGTTCCAGCTGTCTCAGATGTGGGACGGGACGCCACGATGCACTTGTCTTCCAGAGTTCTGTGGGAAGACAAGCCATTGTGTTCCTGTTGGACTGCGCGGAGAGGAGGCGGGGGGCGGGAGAGACAGGTATTTGGAGAGAGAGGGGAGGAAGGGAAGACCAAACTTGCGAACAGCCTAATCAGAAGCTCCACTATATTCCGCAAGATGCCAGGAAATTCAGATCATTAAAATTTGATCCAGCTATCAACGCATTGGGGCTCCAAAGGCGGAAGCAATCGCGAGTTGCACCGACCTGCAAGAGCTCGACCCCCAGAAACATCTCAAAGCGACGGCCGATCCTGAGGAAGTGGAGATCCACACCAGACGCACTGGGACCCCCGCTCGCCCACGAGGCCGCGCTGCTGCCGCAGAACACTGGCGACTTCGTGGCCGAGCTCAGAACCATGCATCCACCCCAGACCCCCGACGTCGCGATTTCTCCACAGCGTCGACACCCAGAAGTCTGAACCCTTCCCTGAGACCGGTTCTTCATCCTGACTCGTTTTTTGACGGTCCGCCCGCCTCCTCCTCCCACCTCCGCTCTCCTCCTCCTCGTCCTCCTCCTCCTTCTCCTTCTCCTCCTCCTCCTCCTCCTCCTCCTCCTCCTCCTCCTCCTCCTCCTCCTCCCCCTCCTCCTCCCGCCTCCTCCCCCTCCTCCTCCTCCTCCTCCCGGAAGCCGGAAATAGCGAAAACCCTCCCGCCGCGATTGTTGCACAACGCGAGGGGGTCTGGGTCTGTGGCCGCTTCCAGAGCCATGAGCCCACCGCGCGTACGTCTCGCCTTCCTCTCCGCCGCCCGAGCCCTCCGCCAGCGCGCGCCTCTGCACAGCTCTGCCTCCTCGGGCCCTCCGGCGAGGCCGAGACATGTGCGCCGAGGGCGTGGCCCTCCCCTGAGATCCCTCGCTCCCAAAAAATTGGAGCGGCGGGATTTCTGCAGTTTTCGGCATCCAGGGGCCCTCGCCGGGCCTCGGGAGCGTCAAGAAACGATCCAGGGCGAAAAGACGGCCCAGGGAAGTGGTCCGGACCTCCGGGGTCCACGCACCAAAAAAATTGGAGCAGCTGGATGTCTGTCTCTGCCATGACCCTATACCGCAGCTTCGTCTCGTGGCGACTCGGGCGTCTGTTTCCGACACCGCGTGGATTCGGAGGTTCCAAAAATGAGGTCCTGAGGGATGGGGGCCCCCAGAGAGAATTTACGTTGTCTGAGGAACCTCGACCTGAAGGCCCCATCCCTGAGGATCCCATCTTTGAACCACCGAACTGCGGCAACTTCGTCTCGTGACGATGCGGGCGCCCCTGTCTCCGACACCGCGCGGATCCTTCCGCCTCGCGCGACCGCCGCTTCCAGACAGCCAGACCGTTCGAGATCGGCCGGTTCCCAGCCGCTGGCGCAGCTAGGGGGCCACATGCGAACCCTGCCCCTACCCCCACGATTTCTCAGGGGGAGCGTGGGGGTCACTTCGCTCGGGAGCTCCCCGAGCGAAGTGAACCCCACCCCTACCCCCTCAGAAATCGTGGGGGTAGGGGGGTGGGTTTCGCATGTGCCCCCCCAATAGCGCTCAAGCCTGAACGCCAGCGCCGGCCGCCGCGGCGTTGCTACGGCGCGAGCCGCCCCCCCCCCCTCCCCCCTGAGATCCGCCGTCGCAGACCAATCAGCATCACGAAGAATCACACCCAAAGCCCTAGGTATCTTTCTGCGCCGTTTCTCGAGGCGGATCGACCGGTGAGGGCCGCGAGGCCCGAGACTACGCGGAAACGCCCGACGCGAACAAAAATCCGGGAGCGGCGAACATATTTTGGGTGACTCTACAAGGGGTCAAGCTGAAAAGGGGTGCAATAGATTTGGGGCAAATGTATTGCAAATGTACTGCGCCGGAAAATTGTTTTGCATTGTATTGCGAAGTAATGTATTGCACGCGAACATACAGCAATACATCTGCGCCCCGTAGTGTATTGCGCGCCCCAAATGTATTGCAGCCCCACAAATCTATTGCACCGAATCTGTTGCATCACCCCCTTGTCGCTGGATCCCCTTGGGGTCAACCCGAATATCCGCGCCCTCGCAGTCTGAATTCCGGAGCGCGGTCCCGCGGAAACGCGGTCGCACGGAGACACTCCGCGCGGGGCTCTGCGACAAAGGCACCCCGCATCCGCGGCGCCGCGGAACCCAGGGGCTGGCTCGCGAGGCCGCGGACACGCACACGCGTTCTTCAACCGCGACGATATGCGATGTTTTCAATCCGCGGCCCCACCTCCTCCTCCTCCTCCTCCTCCTCCTCCTCCTCCTCCTCCTCCTCCTCCTCCTCTTCCTCAGGCCTCCTCCGGCCTCTGCTCTTCTCTCCTCAGCGCTCCTCTCCCTACCTCGTACGCCTCCTTCCTATCCTCCTCCCCATCACTCCTCCTCCCGCTCCTCCTCCTCATCCTCTCTCTCCTACTCCTCCCGCGTCCTCCCCTCCTCCTCCTCCTAATCACTCCTCCTCCTCCTCTCCTCCTCCTACTCCTCCTCCTCCTCCATCCGAACATCCGCCTACCTCCTCCTCCTCCTCCTCCTCCTCATCCTCCTGCTCCTACCCTCCTCCTCCTCCTCCTCCTCCTCCTCCTCCTCCTCCTCCTCCTCCTCATCTTTCTCCTCCTCATCTTTCTCAGAGCCCCCGACCCCATTCCCGGCGGTAGCCTTGAGACCCGACGCTGCGGAAGGATTGCAACACCGCACGAAACCACGACCGGAGCCCCTGGACCCCATCCTTCTGCCACAGTTCTCGAGCCGGATCGAGCTGCGAGGGTCCCGGGGCCCGAAACGGGGCGAACACGCCCGTTGTGACAGAATTGCC